CCACTTGGAATTGTGTGTCTATGTCACCACACAATTTAAACAATAAACCCTTCCATAGAATCTTCCTTATAAAATATTTGGGGGACTGGAGAGATGGCTTGGTGTATAAGGTGCTTGCTGTGTAAGGATGAGGACCCAGGTTCAAGCCACAGCCCCCACATAAAGGCTGGGCACGGCTCAGAAGACAACAAAGAGGAGAATGGTTGAGGAAGACACATGACATCAACCTCCAGTCTCCACATGTGTGTGCATGTATGTGAACCTGTACACTACACACACACATACACACAAACACACATGGAGAGTGAGACAGAGTGATACAAATACCAACTTTCTTTTGTCTTTGCCTCAACCTTTCATTCCTTAGGTCCTAGAGATAAACTCATCAGAGCTACCATAGCTCCACACCTTCATGTGGAACACACAGACTTCTCTCTCTATCTCTGACTGGAGATAATGAAAAGGTATTGTGAGCATCGGCCTTTTGGTTGTCGATTTTTTAATGCAGAGGGTGAAGTAAATGGAAGAGCCTTCCATCTGTCAGTGAATGGACTTGCATCTTTAGTAAAGATCTGTCGAGAAGAGTGTGTCTTTGGGTCCCCCAACCCTCCAGATGTAGACAGCTTCATAATTCATTCCAGTGGAAATAAACAGCCGATGTTAAGCTGAAGATGAAGCCAGCTACCGTTTGCACCGTATTGATGCCAGAAGCACCTCTCTGCCAAGCTCTGAAAAGCACCTTCAAAAACTACCGGAAAAACCCAAGAACTTTAGTGATGAGCTACAAATGGACTGGGGTATTGATAAGGAGAGGTCGATACGTATAGTGAAAGGATGGCCGCTGTGATAAATGGGTCCTCCATCAGTAAAGATCAAATTATTGACTATCTAGGTCAAGGAAAAAAAATCTGTCTATAGCTACTTCTCCAGGTGAGAAGAATTAGCCAACAACAGCAATTCACAGACAGCTCCAAGAGACAAATAAGGAGAATTCCTTTCAAGCATCCCAAGTGGACAGCCACATTAGCAAACAAGTCTGTGGTATGAGGTATTCAGTGAGTCTTCGGCCATATCTGTGTCCAGGCCTTGTTTCTTTTGTATGAAGGGCTCCCTGTAGTAGCTCACATTCCTGTTCAAGAAGGGTTAGGTCAAACTTTACCTCCTTAGTCCCTTAAGTGGAGAACCTCTCTGTCCTCATAAAAGGCATGCCACTCTTAGACTGTCGGGTGTAAGGCTCGTGACAACATCAACCAGATCACAAGTTGCACGGGGGTGCATTGAAAGTGCCTTCGTTCCTTTGCTCCTTGCAGTCCAGCAAAGCACTCTGCCCAAAATAAGCACCAAATCAATGTGTGTTGATTTCACTGGTTTTGAAATGATTCATTAGAGGAACCCAGTCACTCATCATGTCAGTGTTTAATGAGGAAACACCACAGGAAGCACCCAAAAGGACATTCACCAGGATTAGGTTATCAAACAAACAAACAAACAAACAAACAAAAGGTAGATTGGCAGTAATTAACCTCTCAGAAGCCTGCTGTTCCCAATTGACACAGCATAGTCCTTTCCACAGTAAATGTAACTGGATGTTCTGTAAACCACCCAGGAAAGAATGGTGAATCATGTACCACCTTAAATTTGAAAACCAACCCGTTATAAGGGAATAACCTTCTTCAAACACTTACCCTCACAAGAACCCAACATCTTAGAAATCAGAAGTCCAGGCAAAAGAGTAGCTACATGATACCTGCTGGACTCAGTTCCAGAACTACCTGATCCTACTTTCTGAAGTAGGATGAAAAAGTAGCTTTGTAAGAAATCATTTGCTCTATCTTCTCCTCCTGGATCTAGTCTCTTGCCACTCTTAACAGCTGTAGGCACTTCTTTCAGCTACCGTCATGCCCTCTTCCCTTTGAGGTTTTTAATTAACAAGAGCATGCGTTGTTGGTTAAATGTGTTCGTTGACAATTTCACACATGTGGTGTGCTGATCTCATACCTCTACCTGTATAATCTCTCACCCTGTCCAGCCCACCTCCCATCTTCCATACTCATCTTATTCTCACACCCAAACCTTTTTGTTTGGTGTGTGACCCCCTGAGTTTAACCAGGGCCTTCTGTGCGGTCACGGATTTAGAGCTATCTATTGGAGTCTGCTGGGCTCACCGGTGGGCACATAACTGAAAACAATGGCTCCCCTTCTCCCAAAGTCTGTCAGTAGCCAGTCGTTCAGCACTAAGGAGAAGAGACCCACCAGAGTAACATTTTTTAGTATCGGGTGCTTGGTAAAGCTAGGTTGGAGGATTGAATGGTGAAAGGTGTTCAATCATGAAAGAACAGAACGTTGGACGAGAAGGACAATGAATTTGCCCAAATAAATAGAGGTCCAACCTCATTGGTGTTAGCAAAGGATTCATCTGCATGATCCACCCTTTCTTGTAAACACCACAATCACCACTTCATACAGTTAGCAAATGAGATACATACATAGAGATAAAATCCATTTCAAAACACTCTAATCGTTGACTCATATAATAGTTTCCTGTGGCATTGCTGCACTTAATTATCCCACTTAAACACCTCACAAAAATCTGTGAATTCAAAAATAGTCACCCCATATGGTTTAAAGTGAGGAAATTTAAATTCAGGAAAGCCACATCAGTGACAATCAGGACACATAGGCACTTCATTGTAGATCACAAACTTGGCCACATGGTATGAAGAGGTGGTCTCCTCGTGGATCCAGCTGAACACACATCCTTGAAAGCATACATCCTCTTGATTTACGAGGACAGCCTGTCCAGCCCCTCTACTTCAGGCCCTGGTCTACTCATTCATATCAGAAATCCTTGGAGAATAATCCTTGTGGCCCAGGCACCATCGCAGACATGATAGGAAATGAAGGACACAGATGTGACTCATGCTGTGTGTGTGTGTGTGTGTGTGTTCACACACGTGTGTTTTCTAGAAAATTTAAATGTACAAAATAAAAATATAGGTTTATTTACTCAAAATAAGAATTTCATCCTTCCCCATGTTTGCTTCTAGAGGGAAGGTTTGCAGAAAGTGGTAAATCCAAAGTCTCCCTACTATTCGCAGTCCAGCTACTCTTTGTGCTCCCAGAGGGCTGCTGACCCTGTCTGCAGGGAACATGTGACCTGAACTGCTACCAGCCCCTTTTAAAGAGTCACTGCTGGGCCTCAGGTTCCGAGCCCAGACTGCTGATGCAGCTGATTCCTGCAGGGCTTTAGCAGGACACCTTGATGTCACTTACCCAGTGTGCGAAGCAATTCAGGCTACAGCCTCTGTGTGGCTTTAGCAGTGACCCTGAGCCCAAGATCATTTCCTATATGAGATATGTGGGTACATTCTGTCTACTACATTGATTACTCATAGATATGGTGTATTACCCAAAGCCAAAGACAGTGGTAGCAGGTACTACAGAAACATAACAGGCACAAGATTCTGCTGCTCTCAAAAGCGTAGCCCTGCATATACCTGTGTGTGAGCATTCAGGAGTATACATAGTCAGTTATATATGTATGTGTGTGTGCATTTGAGTTTATGTACACACTCAGTGGTGTGATACATATATGTACACGTGTATCCAGATACACATGTTTATATGAGTTTATATATTATTAGTATGTGTCTGGGTACACACAGATGAATGTGAATATATGTCATGTGTACATTTTTAAGCATCTACGTGTATATGGGTGTATGTTTGTGTATATATATATGAATACATATGAGTATAGGTATATTTGATAATGTATATATATATGTACACATATTACTATACAGAAATGCTCAATAGTGCATATGTGCATATACATATAAGTGAGTACACATATGTGCAATAAGCAGTATGGATATGTGCATATATGAAATGGATGTGTGCACATGAGCATGTGTGTGTATAGATGTATGCATGTATAGAGGGAAATAGGGGGATATGTACATGTTTCCATGTCCACATTAGTGTATGTACTCAATAATGTGTACATAGGTGTATATGTAAGCATATATGAAGACAGACACGGACAGAGGTGTGTACATGTTTACACTTTGCAGGGGTGCATGTGCTCAACCATGTGTGTCCATTTGGCTTCAGGCCAGTGGGTGTGAGCTGCTCTGTGTGGTCTACATTCAGTTTGATCTGTGTGCTGCGGAGACCCATCTTTCCTGGCAGGTATTGACTAGAGCAGAAGTAACCCAAGACTATGTTGCTTAAGGAGGTCATCTACAGCAAATGTTTCAACCTGTGGAAAATGACAGATACTTGACTGTGCACATTCAAGAGCTGGGCCCGGGTGCCAGCTTCCATTTCTGGTCCCTGTTGCTACTTAGGAAATGATCTTGTGAAAAGTTGCTGGGTGACCTATTGTTCTCCACACTGGCCCTCCTTATTGTTCTCCACACTGGCCCTCCTTACCCTCATGTTGAGTGCATTCATGCTATACTTGAGGACTTCCTTGGTTTAAGATTTTTTTTTTGTGTGTGTGTGTGCACATGCATTTGGTACCATGGGTTTTGGTGAGATGAAAAGAGAGCCAAAGTGCAAACAAAGAGTCCATTCCCATGATTTGCACTTTAGAAGGAGCCTCTCCGTGGGGCAGAGCTGGGCTTTCCTAATTGAGTTGGCTGGTGTTCTTTGCTCTGTGCCATGGGCTCTTAATTGACTATATTGTTTTAGATTTATGCATTAAAAATACGATTTCTACTTCGAAAGCATCACTTTGTCACTTTGTAGCTATGTAGCTTTTAAGCCAACACCAGAAGCTTATTTTTCTTCTGAGATAAAGTCACATCTATGGATTTTTCAACTAATTACATGTCTGCCAATAAATACTTAGAGGATACACTTTATTTCAATTTATTATTTGTGTTTCTATAGTGTGCCCCACACTATCTGTGGGACTGAAATGGTCTAATGGTGTTCCCTGTTACTTTTTCATGGCTGTCTCTCTCTTTCTCTCTCCTTTCTCTTTTTAACAGCTTCAGTCAGTCCGGTCAAGCATGGCAACGACTTGAACTCGGCAAACTTCCAAGATACCGAGGACATTCTTGACAGATGTGTCTTGGAAGAGTCGGAGAGTGCAGGTGGAAGCCATTTAAACATAGTCAAGTATAAAATGATAAATTTGACACAGCTTTGGGGTCCTTGGGAGTGTGGGGGGGAGGACACTGGAAGGCTGCTGGCTCTAGCAGCTGCACTCTCAAATTAACGCACCCCCCCCAGGAGGTCACGGTGTGGGGCTGTTATCTTTTCCTCTTTCATCAAGAATTCAGTTGGACAAAGTACAAAGACGTTATGACGGAGAGGGGAAGCCGACACCATTAGCTCATTATCAATTCTAAGTTAAACGGCTTAGTCCACACAGAAGCTGGAAACTAGAGAAATGTTGACATTTCAGATATTTCAAATAACAAGATCTAACAAGAGAAAGGCAGAAATGCAGAGATGAGGAGCAGAGGGGAGCAAATGGCCACCACTAGAATCTCTTTACCTTTCTCTGTTCAAACAGACCTCTGACCGGGGAGCAAGGCGCTTTAGCAAAACAGGGGAGGGGATGGTCAAACAACTGGACAGACCATAGGAACCCTCAATCAGGGAGTAAGATTTACTTCGTGTCAAAGTTGCTTATGTTGCTGTTCTCTTTGTGGGAAGGGAAAGAGAGCCAGAATGACCTAGCAGAGATTTTGATTGTGTTTCAGTTTGAAGCATGCCCCGATTTTAAAGATTAATTAATTACAAGAAAAAGGAATTGTTACTAAAAATTGAATGACATTGTTGGGTCATAACCAGCCAGGAGATGCTAGTATCCACCTTATTACTGTGATTGAAAGAGTTAGCCATCTCTCCAGGCTGGACATTTCTTTCCTGTTTTGTGTAGCTACGGTGCCCCCCCCCCTCGCATCTTTGTGCGCTGATCTTTGTATCATATTTTTGATTCACCCTCTCTGTAGGCTGTCAGCTTAGTTAAGAGATTTCCAAATTGTGTCGCCTTCCCTGACAGGGGGGCAGCTGCAAACAGTCCCCTGATCCTTCCCGGAGGAGAGATACCGAGATTTAATTTTCAGTGAAAGGTGTAGCCTGCAATCTATGTCAGGTCCCCTAAGTCATCTTGGAACCCCAATAGGCCCAGTGGTGATGGCAAGTGTGTATCAGCCCCCTCCACTGCACTAGGATCGCTCAGAAAACGAGCTGCAGCTGCGTGCCCGATCCCAGCAACGCTTTCCCTTCTGCATCCTAGGGCACGGAGAGACAGCATCCTTTTATGACAGAAATTGTTAACGGACAAATTAGCCCCACTCCCACACACAACACGCTAAAGAAAATGTCGATTCCCTTCACCTTAAAAACGATTGGGTGATTGTAGTTTTTTAACTGTTTGTACTAAAGATTATTCTTACATTATGTTTAGTGGGGACCAAAACTATCTAATTCTGACTAGGTTTTAAAAGTTCTTGATGAACTGTTTCCCGGCAAGCATTTTCTCAGGAAGTTAAATCTGGAAGTCAGATGTTTACTTAAGCGCTCGCTGCTTTTGGCATGATGCATCAACATGAAGCCATTTCCAAAGTCGAAGCAGTTTCGCCATGTCTTGATACAAGTGGCCAGAGAGTACAATACAGATATGGCTTTTGCTATCTGACAGTTGTGAACAAAAGAACAAGTCAAAAAAAAAAAAAAAAAAAGAAAGAAAGAAAAAAAAAAAAGAAAAGCAAGAGTAATTAGACAATACAAGAGCTGGGAAAGAATCTTAAAGAGTGAGTACCATTCCATACATGGGACATCATTAAACTGGCAATAAAGAACGAATTGCTCTGGCTTTTTCCTCTGTCCACCCTTGCATTTTAAGACATCTTACCCTTATAGGCCTAGAAACCTCTGGAGGGTTGGCTACTGGTCTCACTGCCTTCCACTGAGAATTTGTGGCTTGGTTGTCATGGAGACATCGTATTTCTCCAAGAATTGCTCATATTGATCCGTAGCCAGGCGTAAATGGCCGAGCGAGTGTGAGGAAGAAAGGGGGGCTGGGCAGTCCTGTAAAATGACCAGGGCTTGTGGGTCGGAAAGCTGCTCATGGCAAACACTTAGGGGAAAAGAAAGAAGCTCTTTCGTCTTGGTTCGGGATTTCTTTCCGCACTTTGGACCGTTGTCTTCTTTTGGGATAAAGCTGAAAGGAACTTGTTAGTTGCTTGTCATGTCAGATCTTGGGTGCCTGGTCCTGACCCAGCTGTCAGCCTCCCAGCTCTGTGCAGTTCAGGGACACACAACAAAGAGGTAGTGACATGAATTATTTATTACTCTTCCCGTGGATAAAATTCTGGGATAAGAAATTAAGACACTTCTGACAGAGTGCTTGTGTGCTGAGAAAGATTTTGATGAGACATTAAATTTCCTCAGAGTAGATGCATCTGATAGACATAAGTCCTAAAACCGAACAAGGAAAGAGAGTAAGTTTTGTGTTTATTACAGGAATATGGTGGCATGGAGGGACTTTTTGGAGCTGTGAAATAGGACAGTCCATTTTTCAGTGCCTGAAGATAAACTTCCGAGTCTAAAGTCATGCTGAGGGTACGGCCCTACAGGGATACGTGTCACCCTGCTGATGTACACACCTCTGTTTACTATGTGGGGTGGCATTCATCTGGGCAAGACTGATGATCTTTATTACACACATGCACACACACACACACACACACACACACACACACACACAGAAACAGATTTAGGAGGCTCGAAACAGTAATATTTGAGTCCCTCACTAAGAGAAGTGTGTCAGTAGCTAAGTTTACAGTGACATTGTGTGGGCAGGGATGCACTTAGGTCTGGAGCCACCGTTCTTCCTGTTTTCCCCTCAAATGTCAGCACTCCATTTGAAATTCTCTTTAACATCTTCTTGGATGTACAAAATCCCCCAGTTACAAAGCTGAGCATGCTCAGCCTTCTAGCTGTAATGGATATTGACCTTATCTAGTTTAATGTAATGCTAACTGACTAATATATTTATTACCTCATTTTAAATGAATAGACTAAATGTTTAAAGAGTATTTAGAGAAGGAAAACAAAAAATGATTTTCCCATTGTAAGAGTATCACTTTCTCTATTGTTCTATCCAAATTTTGTCTTTGTTTTTAAATCTTCTCAAGGTATAGCTTTATTCTAGCTTTTGTAGCTATGTAACCCTGACTTCAGCCCTTGTTAATAGGCAGAAAGCCAGAAAGACAAGGTAGCATGGAGAGGCTGAAATAATATTTTTAGAAAGACCTGAAGGTACTGTCTTGGGTGCTGCTAGTTTTTAAATGCTGTTAACAAAATGACACTTAAAAATTTGCCTAAAATGATGCAGTTGACTTCCTAAGTGGTGTTTGGAGACAGCGGGTTTTTTTCTTTTTCTTTTTTTCACTCTGACGTTACGCTCTAGCCCTGAGCTGACCAGAGAGCGCTGTTTATAAATGGGCCACTCTGCGTATGGGTCACAGCTCTGAGGCCATTCGGAGTGTGCTCACCTGTTCTCTGGAGGGCTGTACCTTACCCATCTTGCCATTCTGATCTTTATTGGTTCAAGCCTTATACCCAGGTGAGTGCCTGGAGTCCATTAAGGTTGGCGGAGCACCTGTCAACCAGAGCATTCCTGCTATTTTGACCTTGCTGCTGAACCTAGAGGTCTGGCCTGATGGGGAACGTAACCCTCGGACATGTCTTTCCTTTGAAATAATTCATCAGCAGTGAGTTCCATCTCACAGGTGAATTCCATATTGGAGCTGTGCCTCTGACCCTATGAAGTCCACCTGCGCCTTCCCTGGCATTTATATGTTCCAGAAACCTGGGGGGAGAACTTTGATGTCTGGTAACAGGAGCTCCAAGACAGCATCACAACCTTGCAGCTCCCTTTCTGCACTTTCAGGACCATTAGACTTTCTTTCCTTAGCTCTTTAAGACCTGACTGCTTCTGGATTTGAAAGCTTTCACAAAAATAGTTTCAAGCTCATCTAGTTAACTTCTGGATAAACTTCAGCCTTATTCTCCAGACTGTTTTAGAAAGGACCCCTTTTTCCTCATCTTCACACACATGATGATAAAAATTACAGGGCTGTATTTTAAAGCTATCTTTAAGCTAGCGTTAATGAGAGACCTTGGCTTAAAAAATTAATAACCTAACCTCCTAATGTTCTAGGGACAATGCACTTCAAAATAACTTCAGGGACTGAGCAGATGGTTCAGTCAGTAAATGTTTTTTGTACGAGCACAAGAACTTGAGGTTGATCTTTAGCACTGATTTACAAGAGTCAGGTATAATTCTGGGAGGTATAGACAGAGGGATCCTTGGAACTTTCTGGCCTGCCAGTCTAGCTGAATCAGAGAGCCCCAGGTTCAATGAGAGGTCCTGACTCAAAAAGTAATTTGGAGAATGATAAAATAGGATGTCCTGCATTAATCTCTGCCCCACTCCACGAACATACATCTACACACAGGAACTGTCAGCTGAAAACAGTGGACAAGAAAGAGTTTGGAAGTACAAAAAATAAAATGTATTCCCTAAGTTTTCACATCAATCTCAAAGGTAGTGTATAATCAGTGTGTGTTCTGCTGCTAATAGAACATTTTAGTGGTTTCTGTGTAGCACATCGTGCATGTAGATCTATATACATCACTGTCAATCAATATTACATTTGCATGAATCTGATGAACAAAACTAGAATTCTCACAGAGAATGATACATTGTGAAAAGCCAAGGTGAGATTTTTTTTTTTCCTCTTACTATTCTGTCTCATGAATCACCAGTAAAACCCAGGAATCAGAAAGTAGGACAGCTTCAGGACCACAGTGTTGGGCGGGCCTGATGATGATGCATGAGGCAGAAAAATGTGGACAGTGTGAGCTGAGCATCAATCATGGCCGCCCAACACAGGCTTATGGCTGGGGCTGAAACCTGTTCTAGAAAAAGGAAGAACCATGTCAGTAATGAAGTAATAAGTTCCTACCGGTTTTGTTTAGCAACACCAATGTTTTAATTAATTTACCCAACGAGAAAATGTAAACAGCATAATACATTTTAAAGCAATGCACAGCTGTAGGCTGACTCACAGGAACACGCACATAATAATACATAGTACAGTACTCATGAAAATGAAGAGTCTACTTTTTTTTTTTCAAATTTTGCCAGGAGGAATGAGAATTACTACTTGGGGTTGCATCGTTAACACACACACATACACACACACACACACACACACACACACACACACACACACACACAAAGTAGTTAATGATAGCACAAGGCCCCACTTTTTGAACAGTCCAAATCAGTTTATATTTTACCTCCCCATTTTGTTAGCCTACACAGATAACTACCTAAATGCTTGAAACCGACATATTTTGATTCTCCAACTTAATCCATATTTTAGCAAATATTTATAAAGCCCGGCACTGAAACTCTGGTTGTAAATTGCTACAAGAACAATTAAGCTGCTTAAAATGTGGGAGAATTTGCCTATTTCAAGCCACATTCATCCTTTTGGAAGATTTTGTCATAGGGACAGTTAAAAGCTGTTGGTTATGTGCGGGTGCTTCATAAGACAGGGATATTGGTTACCATATGATGTGTTTTACCTCAGGGTCGGATAGAAGTGCAGGCATTCCTTTTTCTGCCCCTCTCTCTCCCCTTCCCCACACCTCTCCTCCTTCTGTCTTTTCTCTTGTTTCTATATTGCACCATGTAACCCAAATAACCTGCCTTCTTTCTAGGTCAGCCAAGGCATCGTCCATGGATAGTGAAGGTGTGTTCCTGCAGGATGTGCTAGATGGAGCCTGGAAAAAAGCGACCAGTGTGAACTAACAGGGAAGCACAAACACACTCTTTTCCATCAAATCAAAGCAACGTTGCCATTGGTCTGTAGTGGATTTGCTAATATGTCAGCCCAAGTGTATTAAGGATGTTACCACTGGTGGAGGGTATCCAAGCCCTGATTCCAGGAGGTGATTGTCTGAGCCTCCTTGCCCCTCCTTATCTCCTGTCAATATTTGCAACCATGCACGCCAGCCCACAGGTTTAGATTTAACAAGACTTCAGGTGTTCTTCTTCTCAGCTCCTGAATTTCAAAAGCCAGAAGGAAGGCGCACCACTCTCAATTCTCTGCGGCTTCAAGGTATCTAAGCCAAAACATTACCAACTTTGCCATGTCGAGTTAGGACATACTGTTCTAGTGGACGCTTCAGTGAAGGCCAACCAACCCTTGCCCATCTCATCCTTACACGTGAAATGTCCTTTAGTCAATTTGTGACACACAGCATCTAGCCTTGTGGGGTCCAATCAGCATGGGGCTCTAATGACACCATGGTGAATGTCTTTAATTAAATCTTATCCTAGACCTGGACTGGAAGAGGGGATTCTACTTAAAATACACCACAGCTCATTCTTTGTCTGTGTAAACATCCCCAGTTCTTTTCCCAGAAGGAAGCTGGGCTACCAGGAATTCTAAAACTCAAATATGCAAAAAAATATCAACAGAAATGGACGCAAAGTGCTCATCTGTTAAAGCAATCAGAATTATGTGCTGTGATTTTTATTGAATGCTTACTTAATTTATAGAAAATCACCAAAGGTTGTTAAAGCATAGTAAGTGACTAGAAGTATGGCCTAAAAAGGTGGAAATAAAGAGATATGGTATACTCATATGTATGTATATATATATTTGTGTGTGTGTGTGTGTGTATTTCATGTCATTTCATACAATTTTAATTCGACAATTTTCTGAGCATCAGCTTCAGATCCTGTGTCGGGATGCAGCAGTCAGAGCGAAGGAGAGACTGAAGAAGAGAAATGCATCATTGAACTGACTTGCTGTGTAACCTTTGGGAATTACAATTAATTATTGAGCTGGATGAATATATCTAATATGAATGTCAGAAAACCGTAGTGCCTTCAAAGTAGATGAAAATTCGTGTTTCCTAAAATAGCATGTCTCCGCATGAAGCCAATTTTGATTTGTTATTTAAACTGTAATATGTCATTAACAGTAATAACCATGGTAACCATTATTTTCTGGGCATTTTTCCTGCTTGGATAAAGCCTTGAGTTATTTGAAGCAAGTTATAAACAAGTTAGGCAGTGGACTAGATTCTGGCTTTCAAGGCCATCACAAGCATTTAAGATGAAGAAATAATAATTAAGTGTATGTCTTCTAAAAAGGGAAATTTTAATAGTTAAACCCCAATATATGTTAAAATTCTGGTATGTTTATTAAAACTGAGTTTTATTATTTTCATTGATATGCCCTACTATTCCCCTTGCACAAAAGAGTAACAATACATTGAAATCATTGCTGTATTTAGCATATTTTCACGTCTAAAAAAACCAATGTTGAATCCTTGATAAATATTTCATGGTGTCAGCAGTGGCGGGAAACCCGACATGGTGGAACCCTGACTTTACTAAGCACAGTTTTAAGATTCTGCAGCACCGTAAGTTTGAGTTAGTACAAATTCATATTAAATGGTTTCATCATGATTTTTTTTTTATCAACTTCTAAAAGCCAACACTGCTTAAAAAAAAAAAAAAAAAAACTCTTTAGGTGCCAATCCCTGGGTCTGTTTAAAAATACCCCCTGCCTTATGACCACGTTCTCAGTGATTCCCATTCTAGGAAGACTTGAGGTAGCAGGTTGCCTCATGAGTATTTAGGATACTGACCACTTGGTGCCACAGCTCTCAGATTAAACCTGGTTTCTTGATTGTGGCAGGATGCATGCCCGCCTTACGTCTTATCACTTGGTGAACACTGGAGTACATTATATTGTTTGTACTCAGAGTCCTCCTGTTGTTCTTGCGTTTCTTTTCGGCAACCATCTAGTAATATTTATGCCTGTGTCCACCTACCTGCCGAAATCTCATTCAGAGAAACGCCACATCCTCGGACATGCATGGCAGCACCCTTCGCATAGTTTGTGGAGTTCTTCCAGTGGTGTTTTGACAGTGGTGCACAGGATGGAGTCTAGAAAGCTCTTGGGGCAGAGAAAAGAGGCTCCTCCCTGCTATGGTGTGTCTTGATAGCATGCAGAGCTCATTTTCTTGACCTGTTGCCAAGCTTTTCTTGCAGTGCTCAGCCAAAGGGAGCTTCGTATCATGGCTTGTGGATGACTATGCAGGCCCTGGCACACACTCACTAAAAGTCAAGCGTGTGGGATTATAAACACACAACCAGGCTGCCTCCAGTCTTCCGTCCATGTTTTAGACACTAAGCTAAGACTTCCTGGAACATGTTAGCAACAGTAAATGGCAAGAAAACATCTCAGTAGGTAGGCTGTCTTCAGGTGCCAGCATCTGGGTTCGTGGTTATCTCCTTGGTGTGTCCAGTTTCCCGAAATTTTAAAATCCCTTTAGAGTTATTCAAGTCAACAGTGTTTGGAAACGACACTGTTTGTCCTTTATCTTTCAAGGGCGTATTATGATTATCCAGTTTTCAGAAAATTAATGTATATGCTGTGTATTGAAATTGGGGTTGTCAGAATATTTTAATCCTAATTGGTTTCAGTCTTCTTTTCACTGATTTGACTCTTGTAATTTTTAAATTTAATTTGCATACAGTTCATTTGGTCAGTTATTTTAAGGCATCGTCAGACTTTTTTGTTCTCTATGAAATTGATTCTAATATGTATCAGCTTGCCCAAATTTGCTGTTAATCTCATAGTCTCTCCTTCGTAAACACATCTGTGTAATGCTTAGCATTCGCTAAAGGTTTTCTGAATTAGCAACATGCAAATTTAAACTAGTTAAAAGAATCTTGGATGTTGCCTTCCACACACAGTTAAATGCTCTAATGCCATATACAGCAGCTCTCTCCTGGTTCACTTTGCTCAACGAGGCTCTTGCAGAGGGCATGTGGAGTAAAAGCATAATTAAGAATGGTCAGTAGTTCAAAGGGAGCCTGCTGCTGGAATCTCCCTTCCGGCTTAGACCCCTTGGGCATTGACAGGGGTTATGTCATCTCCTGGATGGAGCAGGGACCAGGATGAGCCTGCCCTGACACTGCTCCCTCGCCCTGTTTACACACTCAGTTCAACTTCGCTAGATCTTAGCTTTAAACTTAGGCTATGATAGGCTCCTCCCCCCCCCAGTTACTAGGATATGATCAATATTGCACTAAAAATATTTGTCTTGATTAATTAGATTTTTTTAACCATTCCTTAGCTTTTTAATAAATATGCAGTTGCCACCCCCCAAAAAAATCAATCTGTTTACAAATGGGCAGTAATGATTCCATCATTTCTAGCATGATTATTATTAAAGAAAAAGAAGCAGGGAGGTGAACAACACTCGAAGCTGGTATTCGTAGACCACCCAAACATGTTAACATTCTATTTTGTGAAAATACAGTGCGCCCTGTCCTTCCTTTTGGCAGCGTCTCTAGACACTTTTACCCCATTGCTGCAGCACATTTTCTGTCTTCCGTGACAAAGATCCTTTTTGTCTTGAGTAGCCTGATCCTTGGGAAGCTTTTTTTATTCCAGGATTGGAAAAGGATTTTTATGCTAGGATACAGGGTCTTTAGCAGCAATGACAAACAGTTCGTATTTGTACACACGCAGCCTGAATCTGCAAAGTGCAAATGCCAGCAACATGCCAATATTCATAACATTATGTAAAAGCAATAATTAGTTGGCACATGCCTCCCAAACCCATCATTTACTCACTTAGCAATCATTTTAATTGCAATTATCTGCGAAGTCATCAATTGCCTTCACTGGCGCATATTCTAAGGGGAAGATGTTTTCGTGATCTCTCCTCTGATAAAAGGAGAATCTATGCTACTTTCTTGACACACACCACAAACTTCCTGTTCATTTTTTAAGGTATTCCCTGTTAACGCTTCAGGATCAACTGCATCGTCTACGAAAAACAGCCTTTCTCATTTGTCCTCAGAACCATGCTATTTTTTTGCTGTCTCCAGTAGCATCCTGTGAAGTTTCAGCTTCCATTTTGTATTTTAAAGTTGGGCAATGGGGGTCGGGGACATAGAGAAGCCAGGTCAAGATTAATTTTTCTCCCACTAAGGAGGAACACTGGGGATAAAGTTACCTGTGGGGTTGTTTTTACGGTAGAGGTGAGTCCCTGGGATCAGCCCCTAATTCAAATAACCAGTGGATTTTTTGTTCATTTGCTTTTGGGGTTTTTTGTTTTTTTTTTTTTCAGTGTTTTTTGGGTTAGGGAATGGGGGGAGTTACTTGTTTGTTTCTTCCCCCTCCCAATCTAAGCAAATAATTTACTTCAGTTTCTTCTTTGAGAATTCAGATAATGAGGTGTGAAGAGATACTCCTTTGTTTGGAAGAGTGCAGTGGAAAAGTAAATGTGGAGGTCTCTGGGGTATGTTCCCCAGGCTGCGTGCTATCACGGTACCCTCTGAGAGGAGCTGATCTGTTCATAGTCTTCTCCCTGCCATGTAGGTGGCAGCAACACCCAAGGCTAGAAAATATCAGTCTCATTCCCTGGCTCTGGTCCAAAAGCGTATTCTAACAACAAAAAAAAAAAAAGTCTCACGGAAGAGAAAGGGCGTAAAGCACAAAGACAAATTCCTCTCTGTCCTACCCTGTCTCTAAAGCACTATTTTAAGGTTATGCTTAAACCCATTCCCATAACATGGAGCTATCTGTCACACCCCGCAATACTAAAGTCATATTCTGCTACTGTTCAGACCGGTAGAATTTGTTTCTGTTTCTATATTTACTAGGGTCTTATTTCTGATCTCTTTACCTTCTCCTGGCTGCAGCCTTTCTCTGCAGGGAAAGGAAGGACACTGCTTTCATCCCCCACCGCCCTAGCTTCTGGGGAAATAGAGCAAGGTCATGTATATG